AGGCAATTCTCCTGCCTCAGCCTCCTGAGTAGCTGGGATTACAGGCACGCGCCACCATGCCCAGCTAATTTTTTGTAGTTTTAGTAGAGACGGGGTTTCACCATGTTGACCAGGTTGGTCTCGATCTCTTGACCTCGTGATCCACCCGCCTCGGCCTCCCAAAGTGCTGGGATTACAGGCTTGAGCCACCGCGCCCGGCCAGTAACTATGTTTTTTAACAGACAACCAGAGATGCTTTATTGGATCTTAAAATTACTTGGGAAACAGTTGAAAAACCACTGTTTTGAGTTCTTATTTCTTTCTTGAACAATTCTCTTTGGTTGAGATGCCCATTAGCAGTAAAATGGTTCCAATGTGAGTATACCAGAAGGTCTCAGAACTTCCAACAGATGTCCAGGCACTGGTACACTAGACTAGTGTATCTTGACTAGCACATCATAACTATGAGCATCCATGAATGTAAACAGGTTTGCCCCTTGTTTGCCGCTTAAAAAAAAGAAAACTCCCTCATCAAAGTGGCTTCTAGTTATCTTAACACTAGCATCTTATGACTTTAACACAAATATATCTAGCTTTACATTGCATCAGACATTGTTCCAAGAGCTTTAAGTACATTAATCCAATCCTTATAATGACCTTATGAGGTTGATTCTATATTCTAATAACCCAGATGAGGAAACTTGTTAGGTAAATTGCCCAAAGAAAAGCATTATGCACTATGCTGCTGTTCATAGTTAGGGGTCCCTGGGCAAATGTAATTGTGCAGTAACCTACAGTCTCATCCATCCATTTCACTTTTTCTACTTCTGTCCTGGTATGCCTAGTTAAAGCAGCTTAATGTCTACTTAAATTAGCTCTTGAAAATCTTTCCTTATTAATAATTTACTGAAAAACAACTTCTAATTCTCCCTAACTTAAAGCTCATCTTTGCTTATTTTTTAAAAGTTATCCTTTGGGAGACTGAGAAAGAGGACTGCTTGAGACCAGGAGTTCAAGACCAACCCGGGCACCATAGTCTCTACAAAAGTTAAAAAAAAAAAAAAAAAAAAAAAAGCCAGCACGATGGCATGCACCCATAGTCCAAGCTACTTGAGAGGTTGAGGCAGGAGGATCACTTGAGCCCAGGAGTTCAAGGTTATAGTGAGCTGTAATCATGCCATTGCACTTCAGCCTGGGCAACAGAACAAGACCCTATCTCTAAATAAATAAGTAATCCTATCAACCTCACACAGAGGAAACCTAATTTTGTGAAAGTCAGAAGCAATAATTATTTTAAGCTGAATACTTATATTTATCTACTAGTTTAGCTTATTACATTTATTCCAAATATTTTTGTGCTTGCCAGATCCCTTCTAACTTTAAAATTGCAACAACCTTACTTAAGCAAGGCAGTAGTCCAGTTGACTGGTTGATTCAGATGATGCCAAAAGCTATGGATTCAATCCCTGATAGACCAGTTAGCTTTGTTTGCTTCACATCTACACATTTTTAGTCTGGACAGCATATTTTGGATCATAAGAGGAACCAGGTAGGAGTGTGGAAGACAATGTTTGCTGGAAAAACAAGTCTCCATAAAACAGCACTGACTGTGGGCCAGAAGCAACAGCCTCATTCATAAAGAAAAGCTTCATAATAATTGGTAAAACACTTCTAGCTTTCTGAGTAAGAAGCTCTTCTCAGATCATTTGCCAGAATATAGCCTACAGCTCCTCCTTCAAAAAACAAAACAGATGAGATAAAAATAAAAAAATCATGTTTTTTGTTTTTGCACAGACTCTGCTTGACTGATCTGAATACAATTTTCTTATTCATGACACCAATGCCACTGACAGTAAAAAAAAAAAAAAAAGCATTTGAAATGATTTTAGAAAGTATCACAAAAATCTGTAGCAGTGCAGCATACAAAACCAACAGAAAAACCTGACTGCAATTTCATAAGTATGTCTTAGATTCTTTTACAGTTCCTTTACACTTTCATAAAACCAAAATATTATTCCATCTCCAAATAAAGTTACTTTAAACATGCTTTTTCAAATTAAATGAAGAAAACAATATCAAACCAATCTGGTCTGATAAATTGTAAAACAACCCCAGACCCATTCAAGGTAGAGAGAGGCTTTACCAGTTTCAACAAATAAAAATCCAACAGTGAAACTATATTCCTTAACTGTTAGTTTAGGGAGAAACCCACTTGGGATCATCAGTCTTCACATTTTCCTGTCCACAGTTGGAAAGAACTTCCCAATGTACTAATGCTACAAAGCACATGGGTTCCAACAGTCACAAGGTAACCATGACAGCAAAGCCACAGTTATCTGTGAGATCACAGAAACTATCTGATGTAATTTTAAAAATGGAAATAAAATTCACATAACTTACTATTAGCCATTTTTAAATGTACAATTCAGTGGCATTTAGCACATTCACAATGTTGTGCCACCATTACATTTACATAGTTCCAAAATATTTTCATCACCTCAAAATGAACCCTGAACTCATTAAGCAGTCACTCCTGATCTTCCTCCTCCTCCAACTCCTGATAACTACTAATATGCTTTATGTCTCTATAAATTTACCTCTTGTGGATATTTCATATAAATGCAATCAAGCAATATGTAACCGTTTGGGTTGGCTTTCTTTCACTTTGCATATTTCAAAGTTCATCTACATTATAGCATGCGTCAGTACTTCATTCCTTTTATGGCTGAAAAGTATTCTACTGTATAGATGTACATCTTGCTTATCTACTCATTCACTGATAGACATTTGGGTTGTTTGTATTTTTTGGCAATTGTGAATAGTGTTGCCAAGAACACTCGTGTACAAGTATTTGTTTGAATACCTGTTTTCAATTACTGGACATATAACTAGGAGTGGAATTGCTGGGTCATATGTTAATTCTATATGGAACTTTTAAACTACTAAACTGTTTTCCACAGTGACTTCACCATTTTACATTCCCACCAGCAAAGTACAAGATTCTAATTTCTCCACATCCTTATCAATCCTTGTAATTTTCTGGTTTCGTTTTGTTTTTAAAGTACAGCCATCTTAGTGGGTGTGAAATGGTATATCATTGTGGCTTTGATTTGCATTTTCTTAATGACCAATGACCCTGGAAATATTTTCATATGTTTATTGGCCATTTGCATATCTTTAGAAAAGTCTACTCAAGTCCCTTGCTCATATTTTAATTGGGTTATCTGTTCTGTTGTTCACTTGTTAAGAGTTTTCTTTGTTAGCAGATTTGCAAATATCTTCTCCCATTCTGCAGGTTGTCTTTCCACTTACTTGACAGTGTCCTTTGATGCAAAATTTTAAAATTTGATGCAGTTCAATTTATTTTTCTTTTCTTGCTTGTGCTTTTGGTGTCATTTCTAAGAATCCATTACCAAATCCAAGGTCATGAAGATTTACCCTTATGTTTTCTTCTAAGAATTTATAGATTTACCTCTTAGAATTAGGTCTTTGATCCATTTTGAGTTAACTTTATTATGTGTGGGGTCCAACCTCATTCTTTTGAATGTAGATATCCAGTTTTACCTGCACCATTTGCTAAAGAGATTATCCTTTCCCCAATGAATCATCTTGGCACTATTCTCAAGATCACAGATGTATGGGTTCACTTCTGGACTCAGTTTTATTCCACTAATCTACATGTCTATTCTTATGCCTGTACCTATTTTGATTATTATAGCTTTGTAGTATCTTTTGAAATTGGGAAGCATGAATACACAAACTTTGTTTTTCTTTTTCAAGACTGTTTTGACTATTCAGGGTCCCTTGCAATTCTATATGAATTTTAGGATCAGCTTTCCTATTTCTGCAAAAATACCTACCAGAATTTTGGTCAAGATTGCACTGAATCTTTAGATTACTTTGAGTAGTACTGCCATCTTTATAATACTAAGTCTTCTAATCCATGGATGTCTTTCCATTCTACGAGTAATTTCAAGGTTATCTTAAAACGTCTTTGATAAGGTGATACACTAACTTCTTTAGTTGTCTGTATCTCTATGGTAATTTACTAATATCCTGGAGTACGTCACAAATATGAAATTTACACTTGCCATTGGTAATCCAAAATTCATACACTAGAGAATGAGCGTAAATTATGTAGCATCTTACTGTTTTGTTTGCTTTGGGCTATGAAAAAGGTCAGAACTTAAGGATTTTCATTTTCCTGATTTACAATTAAGTTCCATTATCTTCAGTTCCCAGTAGAGGAATAGAGATGCATGAAGCTTATTTATTTGTTCACTGATAAGAGTTAAGCTGTTTAGCAGACTTCACAGAATGGTATCAGGAACTCTTTTTCATGTAGCTCAAATCCCCCCAAATTGATTATGTAACATTAGCTACTCTGCCAAAGATTTTGCTCACAGAAGCTTGAGAGTCAGAGCTTA